AGGACTTTCTTGAGATGATAGTCTTCAGGAAATCACCCGCACTCGCTACACACTACTCGCCAGCATGCCAGAATTGTGGGAGAATCTGCTGATAAGTAATAATACCTCCTCGGTACCTAGTCTGTACTCCGTTGTACCTCTGCAATTATCAGTGCTGTAGGTGAGTCCATATGCGACTACATATGCATGCTTCATAGGTTAAATTGCCAATCAGCTGATTATCAAATCTCCATAATTGACCCTGCATGGAAAGTACGGAGTATCATGCGCTATGTGCTCCGAAAGGTGCGTGTTTGGATATGTGGATAGGCGAAAGATCAATGCGATCTTCTATACACCTCTCGCGATCAGAGAAAACAGGTGATGTTGATACTCGACTTGCGGCTCTATAGTTGTCAGTTAACGACGAATCTTATTCATCTCATCATCGATACGATATCGTAATGACTTGGTATCTTAGTGATATGATACCTAGGTAAGGCAGTAATCTGCTGTGAACTCAGGAAGAGTCGAGGACAATGCCATGTACCTTAAGGGTCGTAGAATATCAAATCCGTACTGCAAGTGGTATTACGGCTTGAGCCGCTCGTAAACTTACTGTTCCGGTGTGACAGTGACCAGAGCGAGCTGCTTGCGCCTCCTTGGGCTTGGCGAAATCTCCCAATTCTCCCATCCCCGAAATCATACCTTCAAACCTTCGCCCCGTCGTTGGATGCCTCCCGCAATTTTTCCACCTCCCCATCCAATCCTTCCTCCCCAACCCCATCTGTGATTGATGACCTCGTCGACTACCCCCGTGTCTTCGGCCTCATTGCTTAGGACAACGGTCCCCTGCGTTGCTTTCAACGCTTCTCGCACCTGCTCGCATCAGGTCGATTGAAGAGGGAAAAGTTGGAAAGAGAAAGGAGGTTCTCCTCCGGCCACTCGTTTTTCTTTGCTGGTCCTTTTTTCCTTTCTTGATTGCGAACTTATTCTTACCTTGTTCTATACTCCTCTATTCACATTCCTGTCCATATTTCTGCGATCTGCAGCTGGTATACATCCATCAGCTTTCGATTCCCTTTCGTCTCGCGTGCGAATTGTTGCAAACGACTTCAGCATCTATTCTCTGCTCATCAACCACGACTCCTGTTCAGACTAGGCTGCTCGTCCGGACTCGGACAGAGCCTTGAATCTACCGCTGGAACCTGGCATTGGTGTTTTGCGTCGACTTGTTCGAAGTCGACGCAGCGTGGAGACACTGCCATCATGAGTTTCATTCAACGTATTGTGAAGCGGTTGCCCTCTACGTCGAATCTACCCTTCGATGACAGCTCACGCGAAAAGGCTCGGAATTTTTCCAGATTCGCTTTCCTGAAGCGCAGGATACGATTAAAGGGCAACTCGTCGATTTCCATACCCCTAGGCTTTGTTCTGTTATTCCCGTGCCTTGTGATTATCCTCATTTTACTCTTGTTCGTGCGACATCCAGCCTCTCCTGGAGGGATTCTCATTCCGGCAGGCACTCCGCCCTCGATCAGGTTCGCATCGCATCCACAGCCCCTTCATCGTACCACTCCTCAAAGCTAACGTGCCATTCTTTGCTACAGGAGAATAAGTGAGAGATATGACAAGGTCTTTGCTACTGGCTGCTTGCCAGTTGAAGAGGTGTCCCCTGACTATAAACGGGCAAATGCTGCGTTTGTCGTCCTCGCGCGTAACAAGGAATTGGAGGGTGTTGTTCAGTCACTCAAATCCATCGAGCGTCACTTCAATCGCTGGTACCACTATCCATATGTATTCTTGAACGACGGCGACTTCGACGATGACTTCAAGGCCACCGTCAAGAATTACACGAGCGCCCCTGTGGAGTTTGGCAAGATCGATGAGACCATGTGGGGTTTCCCTGACTGGGTTGACCACGAGGTTGCCAAGGAAGGTATCAGAAAACAGGGAGATGCTGCAATCATGTATGGAGGCATGGAAAGTTACCATCATATGTGCAGATTCTATTCCGGGTGAGTGTCTTGAGGCTTGTCGTGGTTAGCTATGATTAACGTGCTGGCAGGTTTTTCTACAAGCATCCCCTCCTCATGAAGTACGAGTGGTACTGGCGTCTTGAACCGGAGATCAAGTACTTCTGCGATATCACATAGTACGCATACAACTCCCATCTTTAACTGGCTGCATCCTCTAACTACGGACAATAGTGATCCTTTTATCATGATGGCCGAGTCTAATAAGACTTACGGTTTCACTATCGCCGTCAAAGAACTCCGCGAAACTGTACCCAACATCTTCCGCTACGCGTCCGCCTATATGCGAAAGAATAATCTCAAGTCGAAGGGACTTTGGGAAATGTTTCTTGAGAGGCCTGAAGAGGAGGAACCCAAGCCGGAAGAAGAGAAGAAGGACAAGCTTCCCGACGAGATACTCCTTACCGATCCGGGCGAGAATGCCCTTTCTGAAGTTGATCCAGAGGCTATGGAGGGCGAGAAGTACAACATGTGCCATTTCTGGAGTAACTTCGAAATCGCACGCCTGGATTGGTTCCGCAGCAAGGAATATGAGGATTTCTTCGAGATGATGGACAAGAGCGGGGGCTTCTGGATGGAGAGAGTATGTTTCAATTGGTTCGTGGTCTTTATTTGGCTGGACTGACGCTTTTTTTCTTAAAATAGTGGGGTGATGCGCCTATCCACTCGCTAGCCGCTGGCGCTCTCTTATCTCCCAGCGACATCCATTACTTCCGTGATTTTGGCTATCGTCACACCACGATCCAACACTGTCCTGCAAATGCGCCTGCGCGACAACTGCCCCGAATTCCATATCTGGAAAAGACCACAGTGGATGAGAAGGCGCGAATCGAAGAAGATGAATACTGGGCGGCTATTGACGCCGTCAAGGAGAACGGTGTCGGTTGCAGATGCAGGTGTGATACTGATATTGTGGATGTTGAAGGCAAACAAGGCAGCTGTCTCGCCGAATGGGTAGAAGTTGCTGGAGGATGGGCATCTCCATAGACCTGAATTGCCTTTGGAACCCATCAATGTACTCTGTATAATGTTTGCAACACCCTTTCCATGCCTGCTTGTTCGATTATGAGCGCTACTTGGGTCGCCCTGGGAGTTTTTGCTTGGGCCTGCAGAATGTGTTGGCCGTGGGGTTCTTCTGGACGGCGTTTAACGGATCTGACGACTCCTCATACGGAAGACGGTGTGACACCCTCATATTGACAGATTCATCTAGCGTGCTTCGTACATCTTCTTTGGATTGCCACGTTCTATAATCCTTGTCAAATCTTCATTTCCTTTCAGAGAAAACCTTGACTGACACGGAAGCGTTCTCTTTTGCGCATTGGCTGATCCGACTCTTCGACGATATCGTTTTCAAAGCTGTGGCTCGTGCACCGCCAGCGAGCGACTCGTGTAGAGTCTTCTTTCCGCAGGCGCCTGTTACCGATGCCTTGGAGAGGCTTCCTTCGGCCTGCCTCGGTTTTGAGATAGTGATGTTTTCTGATCGCCATTCGCTGAAACCCCCAAGTGAGCGTCCTCGGCAACAGTGTGGGAATAGTTATGGCCATCTCAGACTCTCGAGGCCTAGCATATATGTGAACCGAGGACGACACAGCGGCAATGTGGCTGTTATTGAGGCCTCCGATATCTAATCATTAAATTCCTACCTCTTTTTCCCCATGCCTCTTGATATTGATGTTTTCCTCGCTGTCTCCTTTCAACCCAGTATCCCCTTCTGTTTCCACCCTTCTGCATTTAATTCATGACCCGACTGTACATATTGTCCCCTGTGAGCCCCCGTTGAGGAACGGCCACTTCATATGCGTCATTGAGTCTCAAATAATACACATGAGCATGACTTGTCCATAGAACATGAGCTAATCCATCTTTGTTATATTTCCCAAGATCGAATTATCTGTAGGCTTGTACGTATCGTTGTGGCCATGCATTTACAGAAAGAAGGATCAACCTCCATCCCCGGCGCAATTCATTCCGGAGATGAGTAAAGAATAGGAAGAAGAGCGCATATTGAGGGGCATTCAAGTATCCGTTGATACCCCGGATCCAATTCAAAATGTTATGCCGGGGTTCAGTAAAGTGGAGGGCCAATCCTCCATACGGAGTACTATGGACCCCCTTGGCCCTGACATTGAGGTGCTGCATAGTCTAGGCCTGTTCAGGTTAGTGTGATACTTCTATCGTTATCAGTTGCTCCAACGATAATAATGATAAACGGCTGAATGATGATGTCTAATATAATGGTGAACACCACATGATGAGGTAACTGTAGCCTTAGTATCTAATGGCTGCCTAGGGCATACTAGACACTAGGGTACCTAGTTATCTTCCACCTGACTTCGATAATCCGGTCCTTGTAATTATTGACACGGAATGTAGTACCCAGTCATCCGCTGTCATGTGCCCCGCCCGCCTGTGGCTGTTCTTGCTATCTACATTGACAGGCACAATCCGTTTCCCCTCATCTACTATCGCTGCTTTTGAGAAAATCTGTCAAAAGGCCCGTCGTACGCTGATCAACTCTTTCTTTGATGTAGGACGAGGATCTTCATCTTGGATTTTTCATCATTCAACTGACTCATGTGCCTCAAGTGCACCTGACTACTTCTTCCGTCCTCTCCGCTGCTATAGTAATCATCGGGCATCCGCCTATTAGGCAGAGTTGATCTCGGGAAGTTCACTGACAAACTGTCCTTGTCATTCTCAGGTAGAACTGGGCAGAGCTTCCCTGTGAAGTTAACGTATCCCCCCTTTCAAATCTGTCCACTAGACTCAGTCTTCGTTCTCTGTACTCGACCGAGATTACGCGATCACCTCATTCCTATAACCATCTCTGCTCGATGACAACCGCACTCTGATATCATGGCTGACTCTCCAGAGCCCTCCAGACGACCCTCTGTCTCAGGCACACCCCACCTCCAATATCCAACGTTTCCACCGCTAAGTGGTTCTGTTGAAGAGTGGCTATCACGATCGAGACCTACAAGTATGACGTCAACTCCAGCGGCAGAACACACCAGCAAGTCGTTGAGTGAAAGTTGGGCAGCCTTGAGTGCTTCCGACGCCCATTCCGAGGATGGCACTCGTTCTGAGCAGACTGACGCGGGATCTCTGATTGATCACACCGGCCCAGACGACGTTGCAAGTCTCGATGACCAGTACAGCTGCAGCGAGGCTGATGGGGTTGGCGAAGATGACACTGATGAGGGGGAGTATAATCAAAGGATAGATTCTGAGTCTCAGGAGCTTCCCTCCCTATTTACTCAAACGGGCGATGCCATCGATGGTAGTAACCTTACCGCTAAGACGGCCTTTTATCAATCGAGCGAGTCGATTCAATTCATCGAGCCTGAGCAGTGGCCTGAAGCCGAACGAGTAGAGCTGAAACACACCATCCGGGTCATTGACACACTTGAGTCCACAGAACTCCTAGAGCATCTTGGTTGCGACTATCAAGACTCCCTCCTCACAGTCACAGTCCAACAGACGATGACAAAAAGAAGCCTCGACACCGAGAAACCGTTTCGTGTGCTGTATATTGGGCACTCCGATTATCGCACTATCATACTAGACAAAATCGGTGATGTTCTAGTGTCAAGCTCATGCAGCAGCTATGAGAGTAGCTCCACCGAGTCTTCCAGGTACCATGTCGTTCCCACTGCATTTGGTGCAGGGGCCGTACCGAACTTTGCAGAACTTCTTCCGATCCATGTGCAGCTCATTGTCGACGAGTGCGTTCAAGCTTCTTCCGACGCTCAGACCGACGATTCTGGCTCGATCAGCCTGATATTCAAGAATCGGCCCGCATGCACGTCTTCTTGGAGCGGATTAGACTACACAGTCTCATCCTCTTCGGACTGGACACTCCCGGACGTAGCCATCCTTTTCCTTTCAACCATGGACACACCTGATGCTGTGGAAACGCAAAAACTGGCTCGTATCTTCATGGAACGACATGGTGTTCCGACTTTGATGATCTCGGAGAAGCCGTTGTGGAAGATGGCGAGCGAGCCAATTCCTCTGAACTACCATAGTCTTCATATGTGTCTGGAGTCTCGCCATCCAACTACTGGGAAGAGTACAGTTCTGAGGAGGTACCCCATCGATCTGAAGACTTTTGAGAGTATTACTCCTGGGCAACTCAACCGGAACCTGGCTTCTCTAGCAGAGGTCTGTCCTCGCGTGCCATCCAAAGCCCGGGTGCGCCTATCAGATTCTCCAGAAGGAACTAAAAAGCGATTTTTTAGCACGGAGATCTTCAACAGGGCGATTTCTGGCGTCTACTACCGAAATGACGACCGCGACTGGACGCCCCTCCTGCGTTTGAGTATCATGACAATCGTTTTAATCACAACTATCACATTGTGCTATTCGGCCCTACAGGTTACTACTGTGTCCCTCTTACATTTGTTCTCTCATCCCACCATTTCAAACCCCCCATCTCCTGCTGTAATGACAAGCCCCTCCAGCCTTCTTTCCATGGGAGGACTCGGACAGACTTCTCTTTCAGCACCGTCCGCATCAGCGGAGGAAGTACAACTGCTCACAAGTCAATATTCCAGTCGGCCTCACTTCGGGAACATTATTAGTGGAGTCGCATCTGGTCCTGCGCAAGAGACGAAATCGAACCAATTCCAGATACAGGTAGTCGGTGATTGCCACCTTGTTCTAAAGCCTCCGCGTACGTTCTTCAGTATGAAGAAGCAACCCAAATTCGATGTCCAAATCAGCAGGAATAATGTTTCTCTTGCTTATGAGTTCTCTAAGCTATTCGAAGGAGTGTACACGCTAAGACTAGACAGGGGAGATGCTTATGGTGTCGTTGACATCATCATCACTGCAGACACAAAGCCATTCCTCAATCAGACCATGTCAGTCGATTTGGGGACACCCTGGCTTAAGATCTCGAGCTGGAAGCGAGCGGCGCAAGCTATTTCATCCCAACTTGCGCGAGACTTGGGTTTAGCGCACACCAGCCTGTCAGGGGCATACAGTCGGTTGTGCACCGATTTGCAGTTGATGATGGGAGATGTAGTGAGGAAAGCGCATTTCTTGCGACATGAAGCTGATATAATTCGGCAAGGCTCTGCGCAATTTTCTTTGGAGACGAGAGAGGCAGTTATGTCTACGTCAAAGCAACTTTCAGAGGTCGTGAAGCGCACTGCTGTGCAACCATTTCTGGCAGCCTCATCTGTGATACAGAGTCACACAGACAGATTTAACAGAGAAGCCAGAGGGTTCATGGGCGACACATGGAACAAAGTCAGCACCTCTGCCCGAAGTCTCGACCTTGGGGCCCTCAAGCGCCAAATGCGAAACGCTAGGAAATGCGACGCTTTGGATAGGGCTCAGAGAAGGGTAAAGAGTCTGATGAGGCGAAAAGCTTCCCGACACCCGGAAGATTCCTCATAAATATTGCAGTCGGCGAAATTTGGCGTCTATAGTTCATTACTTTCTATTCTTTTTTTCGATTGTTCTGCTATCTTGTTTTGGGAAATCTTTCAGGCGATAGGGGCGGACGGATAGTCATAAGCACGGGTTAACAGGGTTTACGAGAATATGGCTTATCTGATGACTGGAACAATTGCTAATTTACGCTTTTCATGTATCCATCCTGGCAAGACAATCATGCTGGGAATTCTAGGACTGTCATAGATCATCTGTGCTGTGTAGTCTGTAGGAAATGGCCTTGAGCGGTGGCACTAGTGGAGTAATTGTAGCCTTAGGCTACACTGCTGGGGGTCCGGGCATGATTATTTTGTGAGCGGGACGAACTCCCCACCTTTTGCAGGCCCTGAATCAAAACATATTTTGCCTCTTCCTTTCACTGCCTTCCACCACAAATAAAACTTCCTCTTATCCGAGTAATAGGTAAATAATCATTCGCTTCAAAACTGCAATCTCCAACTTACAAAACTTCTATAACCCCAGATCCTTCCACCATGTCTGACGTCGCTGAAACTAAGCCTGACCCCGCCACCAACGCTCCTGAGGCTCAGAAGCCTGAGGAGACGACATCTGCCGCCAACACTGAGGAGTCCAAGCCTGCGGAAGAAAAATCCGTGACCGAGGCTGCGGTTGACACTGTCAAGGATGCTGCCAGCAAGACATCTGACAGCGTTTTCTCCATGTTCGGTGGTGGTCCCAAGAAGGAGAAGAAGGAGGAGGCTGAAGACGCTAAAGATGAGCCTTCTGGTTCTTCTAAGGCTCAGCAGGGTGAAGAGGAGGTGAGTTTGCTTTTTTACACTGGTGTTGGTCTTGCTATTATGCTTGTTGTCTGGTGTCTTGATGCCCTGCCTACTCCTTCAGTCCTCTCTTCAATCTCTTTTTTTTTCCCTTTTTACCGCGTGTGACGGACAGCATTTTTTTTGGAATGCAGGTTTCTCTAGAACGAGATGAACTGTGAAACGTTCTTTATAAGCTACGAGCTGACAGCTTTTGGTTAATCTAGGATGAGGCGCCCGAGTCCCCTGATGTCCACTTCGAGCCCGTTATTCGCCTGACGGAGAAGATCGAGACCAAGACCAACGAAGAGCTTGAGGAGCAGGTCTTCAAGATGCGTGCCAAGCTGTTCCGATTCGACGCTGAGAGCAAGGAATGGAAGGAGCGTGGTACTGGTGACGTTAGACTTCTGAAGCACAAGGAGAACCAGAAGACCCGGCTAGTGATGCGCCGAGACAAGACCCTCAAGGTCTGCGCTAACCACTACGGTTAGTCTCTATATACTACCCGGTTAAGTTGACTGTGTTGAGGCTAATCGTTTCGCAGTTGTCCCCGACATGAAGCTCAAGCCCAATGTCGGCAGTGACCGCAGCTGGGTTTGGAGTGTAACTGCGGACGTCAGTGAGGGTGAACCTGAGGCTCAGACCCTTGCCATTCGTTTCGCCAACAGCGAGAGTAAGTCCTGGATGATGATAAGCTTGGGTTCTATTCAAAGTTTGCTAAGCAGACATTACAGATGCCAACCTCTTCAAGGAAGCCTTCGAGAAGGCCCAGCAGGAGAACGAGAAACTCATCGGCCAACAGTAAGAAGTCTGCAACTCCACGCTCCTGGAAATTGCGGCTTTTCTTGTAACCATTGAATTTCGATCCTATTTCGACGAATTTTGACTTATGGCCTGTCCCTGAACTCATCATCACCCCTTCAATTCCACTATTCCTCGCCACAGCATCTTCTTGTCAATCCCCCTCCCCCCTTCCCCCCCTGACGATTTCACATGAGTGCGCAAATGATTCTGTAAGCTGGTGACAATGAGAGCCTGAGTCGACCGAGCATCAGATTCAACGCCCCCTCGTCGTCTGGCAGGTGATGTCGCGTGCCTTCAGACGTTCGAACCAATTTGGTGGTAGATAGACATACTATCCCCTCGAATATACGCATGAATACACCCCACGTTTATGTACGAATTGTCCTAGTTATTAGATCTGCTCTGTGAACCTTTTTCTTGCAATGATAGCTCTTATTTGCGCATCCTCAATTGCAGGCATTGGATGTAGGCGGAGATGCTTGCAATTCAGTATCGCTATGACTTAGTCGTATGACGAAAGACATGTATATTTCCGTAGTCCCTGTGGTACAGCCAGTTGACTTCCGATTCATCCTATTGCACTGTAGGTTTGGATGAAAGCGACCTTGGGTGTATTCAGCTCTCTGGTGGCGGGTCACTCTGCCGACTACTTTCCCCCCACTTGACAGCATCGACAAGGCTTCCACAGAACGCCTCACTATCCTCTCACGTTTCTATCTTCTCCATTCATTCTTACCTGACCCCTCTAAAGGTAGAGCTTACTTGGAGCTCACCACAGCTGGTCGACTGTGGACACTTGCATTTCAGTCCGAATTTCTGATTTCTCCGCAGGCTTGGCGCTAAACATCCAACCTCGCTTCACCTTGATTCGCGCGACCCTTGAGCCCGATAGCTCTTTGTCTCCCATTGCAGCACTCTGCAGTTAAAAACACCGTACAAAAAACCGCTCTTCCGTCCTTCCTATACCTCCGATCTACGATCTGCCTAACAGAGGCCTGCTGGCAAAATGCCCGATGTGAGTCCGTCTGGTTCACTGGATGAATGGAGTTCCTGCGTTACGCCCTCCAATGCTTGACGCAGGTACCGATCACCTTGCTGCTATCGCATGATGCTGACGCCGATATTTTCCCTGCCGCGTAGGTTAAGAGAACAGTCCGGCTGGTGACAGAACAGCATGTCGTGTACGTCGCCTTCCCTCATACCCAACTGTCGAAGGCGCGCAAGAGCGATGCCTCTCTCCATGCCTTTCCATACACTTTGTGATTGTCCGAATACATTGCGCACGCGCATGGTCTGGGCTGCTGCTACGCGCTTCCAATTTTTCTACCGGCCTTAATGGATAAAGCTGGTGGTTCCGCCTTTTGTGTTTGGTGGGGATGCTGACGCTTGCTCTTGCTTACTCTAGAAACAAGGACTCTGGCGTTGAAGGATTCCCACTGCGATCGTGGTCGATTGAGGTCTACCTCCTCAATGAGCACGGCGAGCAGGTGCCGGCGAACGTCTTCGACAAGGTGACATACACGTTGCATCCCAGTTTCGGGGACCGGGCTGTGCAGAGTACGTCGCTTCCTTTACCGCTATGCCATCAAATTCTTGTCACGTCATGAGGCAAAGGGACTGTCAATGAATCGAGACTGACACGCAACCGCGTCAAACAACAGCTTTCAAGAACCCTCCATTCAGAATCTCGGAGGAAGGATGGGGCGAATTCGACCTGCAGATTGGCCTGACTGCCGCCGACAAGGAGCACTTCCTGACGCACGACCTGAATTTCGCACAGTCGCGCTACGAGTCCAAACATGTCATTGTGAGCACCAGCCCTTGTGTTCTCGCGCGACCTATTGCCTGAATCGCTCTTGTACTCATGCCTCTTATCTTTGCAGACATTCAAGAATCCCAAGCCAGCGCTGTTGGCTGCACTGCGCGAGTCGGGACCAGTACCCGGTGACGAGAACGGAGTGAAATCGAAACGCGCCGCAGGAGGCGAGGAGGGATCGAAAAAGAAGAAGCGGACGGAGAAGAATGTGAGTCTGATTTCTCTTCTCCCAGCCGAGGAGGATCTTTTCAGGCGAATATGACACATAAACTAACCTCCTTCGGCAACAGGTCGACATGGACAAATTGGCGGACGGCCTCCAAAGACTTGGAGAAGACGACCTCCTCCAGGTCGTGCAGATGGTGCACGACCACAAGGCGCCAGACTCATATACCAAGAACGATGTCGAGCGTACGTCTTGCCAGTTATATATTTCTCAAAATGAATTTATCTTCGAGAAACAATTGCTAACCGGTATTGCTGGTTTGCAGAGGGCGAATTCCACGTCGACCTATATACCCTTCCGGACAACCTGATCAAGATGCTGTGGGACTTTACACAAGAGAAAGGGGCTCTGTAGTCGCTTTCTTCTTGTAATTTTCCTTTCCTTCATTTTTTTTTGCGAAACCCGTATTCCAATTGTCTTTTTACCTTCTTAACTTCTTATTTCTTCCACGTCATGTTTTCTTCCCACCCACTTACCCTGATTTGTATCTCTGGTTCGATGAAGGTTCGTTGGGTTTGAGTGGCCTTCTTACAGAGAAGAATTCCAAGAAGTAGGGAGCTGGCGAGAGCAATGATCCTAGTGACTAATGAAACAACAAAGAGAGACGTGATCAAGGACAAGGTCCAATTCTAATCAGTTGAGAGGATAATATCTTCAAGAAAATCAGTCTATCCAAAGATGAACGCCTTTGCCCAGAAGAACAAAAGAAACATAAAACCGAAACGATTTGGATATCTCAAAGTTTCATGCAGACGAGGCCGGAGACAAATGAAACAACACGATACTAGATGCGTTGAGAACCCAGAAGGTAAATGACCAAATATCCGCCCATGAATGAAAGTAATGCCTCGTCAAGGAACCAAATGATGGAAGACGTCAAAACAAAATCCTGTAGAGAAAAGGAGAAATAGACCAGAAGTAAACGATAAGAAGCCCGTTGCGCCCGCTGTGCTCATTCTAATGGAGCAATGATATTGCATAACATAATGAGAATTGGAGAAGAGAAGACCTTAAAGAAAGGAGGTCTACAGAATCCGGTAGCTGTGTATAGAGTTAGCAGACGATGGAAAGAAAAGCAGAGGCTTGACAATCGACATACGATTTGAGTAGGTCTTCCAGACTGTCTGCACTGCAGCTCCGGCCTTTCGGGATCTGCTTTAAAATCTCAACGATAGTAGCGAAGACGTCACCTGCTCTGTAAGCCAGCAGAGCAGGGGCGTCAATGTGGTCCATTTCGGCGATCTCATGGTCCAGCTTGATGAAGCGGATAGTTGGTTGCCTGCGCGCAATGGTATCCAGGCAGTCTTCCACGAGGGAGCTGACGTTGGACTGCGGTCACTGTCAGTTGTGCGTTCCACGACCCTTCGTTGGAAGGGGCATAAACCAATATACTACTCACCTCCGGGTCGTACACACACACCACCACCACCGTATCCGAGGAGACCTTCTCAATAGCATCCAGATAACCCCCCGCATCCACCGTCTCGACGGACCCGTACATTTTCCTCCGGGGACTGGCACGCCGTAGGTTCCGGTTCTGCAGCTCATGCATGCGCGACTCCCGCCACTTGCGCATGAACTGCTCCTCGTCCTCGCTGGCAGAGCCATCCGGCGGTGAGGAGTTCTGCAGAAGATTGACATCATCAGTCACCGACTTGAAGTTGGAACGATGATGCGTATAGTCCATTCCCGTGGCACTGAGTAGGGTTCTGCGGAAGGAGCGCTTGCGCGCACGTTCGAAGGCCTGGGCATCAGCAATGACGCCCTTGGGTCCAGTGTTGGCGTCGAACTTGGTCCTGGGGACCTKGTATGTAGTTGTCCGTGAACTCATGGCGGTACCGTCAAATTCTTCCGAGTCTGAGAAGTGTGTATGGTCGTCGTGGTTGGTGTCGTTGTCAGAGGCAGGCTCGGAGTCGCGATCAGATTTATCTCGGTCCTCAGGATGAGTGGAGAACTTCTCCTGGTTGTTGGCAACAAGGCTGTTGAACTCGTCTTGAGCAGACATGACGAAAGGAAGGAAGCAGGAGGGTGGGGTCGATGCCTAATTTTAAAGGGTAGACGATGATATTCGTGTCCCGAATTCAGCTCGCAGACAGGGTAAGTCGATCGCGATTACACTTTTTTCTTTTTCTTTTTGCCGCTTCCTTTTTTCCCTTTTTTGATTTTTTGCCTTCTGGCTAGGGTACTCGAGTTCCGTCCTAGAACTCTAATTTGAGAAGGTCAAAAAAGCAATTGACGAGAACAATAAGCAGTACGGAGCAGGCCTATGCCCAAGAAAGGCAAAAGACGATGACGAGAACGATGACTGCGGTTGGTTTCAGAATCTCGGATGTTTCTTTTCTGCCCCTGAACCACAGTCGGAGATATGGCCGCTATTGGAGAGATGCTCCAGTGACAAGAGAGTACTGCAGACCACCGACGCCGATCAATTCCGCACTTGAGCGTTGAATCAGGAGATCGATTACCTTTTTCGAGTGTCAACTTTTAGCAAAAGGATCAAGGATTCAAAAGGATTCGAATTTGCAGGGTCTAGATAGAGATACTCCGTAGATAGGAGAAATCTAGACTAGTTGCGTGAGTGGGTGGCAGATGAAACATTCGACGATTCTTGTCGCTTGAGGAGTTAGCGGGGAGAACTAGCGCGCCTTGCCTTAGGTTTCTCTGCAGCAACTCCCAAGCAAAACAAGAATAGGAGCCAATCATAGTTTATGTTCCAGAGGCCCCCGTGTTTCAGGTGATGAAGATCACATCTCAGCCACTTTTGGCAGATCACAACTTTGTGACTTTTTAGCATCTGGGTTCTTGATGTATCAATTATCAATCGATTAGTCTAATCAACGAATGGTTAATGCTACACACCACCGGCACTAGAAGCAGCAAAGAACATTCCTCTGCTCCTGGCTGGAATGTCCCACTCCTATATCACCTGATATCAAAAAAGGAGTAAAGTGAAGTTCAAAAGCTCATGAAGGCTAATTCATTAGGAAGGTACGAAGGATCAGTCTGCTGACTGCTGTTTGCTCTTCCATTGGCTCGACACATTGTTGTGAACCCTCGTCAGGAGCGTCAGGCCACGTGGGAATAGGTGTTTCAGATGCAGATCCAGCGCCATCGTCATGGCGATGCTTCCGAACAGCCCGATCAAATCCTCCCAAATCCCAAATCGCAACTCATATCTAAGTCCCTCCGTTATGGCGCGGTTGCGGCGCTTATCACCACCCAAGTACTCCGTACTAGCCTCGATTTGCTGCGACTTCCAAGAGCGCAGGGTAGGACCTCGCAGTGCCTAAGGTACTTACAAGCAGCCCAGCGCTCCAAGGGGTTCCGCTATACACCTGGTTCTCTACTGGAGCACTCCGTGCGGGATGGGAAAGAGACAACCAAGGCGTGGAGCCATTCACCTCTTGACATCTCCACCTTGTAGCTTCTTCTACGTGATGTCAAGGACCGGTAGATTCACGCAGCCCAGCTGCCGATTGGGTTTCATTCCTAGGGACCCCTCACAACCTCATGTCTTCTAGTCGAAGGATGATACCCCGATCCGCTGCTAAGCTCCCGCGTTTCAATAGCGCCATGTTTTCTGGTGAAACTCGAATCCCAGGCCAAACCTCAATCTCACCTATCCGGACCCTTATATGGCATGTAGAAATGTCTGGTATACCTCGTATCAAGAGACTGCCAGACTCATGCGAAACAAGCCCAAACTGAAGCAGACCTATGAGTTTTCAGATACACCAGTATGTCAATCGCAGCCCTCACCGCGCATATCGCATCAGCCAAGCCCCGCTGACAGGAGGTCGAGAGCTGCATGATATTGGCACCCGTAGATTAAGAAATGAGGAAATTCTGGAATCAACAATAGATTTTTGCAATGTCAGATTAATTAGTTAACTAAGAGAACATTCGCCACAAGTCAGACAAAGGAAAACGTCATGGCCCTGTTCGAAAACATTCCCTCCCGTCCTATCAGCCGCAAGATGAATACATGCAGAAAGAAAGTCAATGCGCAAGAGAGGCTGATCACAAATGAATAGGCAAAAGAAATAGAAATCAAAAATAATGAAGAGTCCCGTAAGACCAAAAGAAAAGCGACCATATAAAGACGGGAATAGGATATGCCAGACGAAAGAGCAAAGGTATAGGATAGGCTTGCAAGCGAGAATCCCTCCAAAGCGAGAAGAGGGAAATTAGAAGAATGAAGAAGTGTCCAAGGACGCGGACGTGTCTGCCGGTCTCACCCACTGTTCACTGCAAAAGGAGTGCTTGAATGGACGGTGAGTTTAGGCTATGGGGACACTCCTCAGACAGCCATCCTAGGGGGGCTCGTAGATCAATGTCATCATCAAATAGAAAAGAAAAGCAAAGATAACATGTGAGCGCGCGCACAACATCAGCCATCGAACGTTGTCACCTAGAGTTCCGGATTCATTAATTTGGCCCAAGACCAACATCTGAAGTGTTCCAAATCTCGATCAAGTATCCAATCACCTTGATCTAGGTCCAAGTGATTCGCTCGTCCCGCTCCCCGCAAACGTCTTTTGTAGTTCCGGATGGAAGATTAAAAGCGGACATTGCTCCTGAAGAAAATATGAAAATGTATCGTACAACGGCGGACATCCAACCTATTGTTGCAGAAATGAATAGAAAAGAAGCCGAATGATGGAATCGCAAATGATTGAGACGGGGTATCTTCGCTCGATGATTCTGTTCTTTTACCAGGCCCAAACCTTGAGCTGTATCACGAATAGAAATATCAGTAATTGTGAAATGAAGGACCAAAAACAATAAAATAAAATAACAATGAGAGATTTTAACGCTTTCGGGGCACTTACAAGAGAATCCCAGGATCCAGTGCACAAACTGATGCCGTCATTGCTGACTCCAAGGCAGCTGACACGGTTTTCGTGGCCACTCAGAGAACCGACCTTGTCACCTCGAAGAACATCCCAGACCTGCGAACGTCAGCTTGCCCCCTGTTGTAATGAATAGTTGTATCGTGCACATACCTTGCACTCGAAATCATCATAACCGGCGAAGAGCAATCGTCCAGAGACTGAGAAAGCAACAGACGTGATGCCACACAGAATTTGATCGCTCTGAAGCAAGCGAGTCTTATTAGCTATGAACGCAGCAGGCATCATGAACAAGAACATGAGTTTACCTGGTAGATGTTCAATTCCCGATCCGCACGGATGTCGAAGAGACGGCAGGAGGTGTCATCAGAACCTGTCCCGAAAGCGTTTCCGTCGGGGAAGAATTGAATGGCGTTGATATCTGATTCGTGTCCGGCAAAAGTCTGAACGGCCTTTCCGGTACGGATATCCCAGAGCTTGGCGAAAGCGTCGCAGGCACCAGAAACAAAGATGTTCTGGTTCGTGGGGTTGATGCTGATCGACATGACATCTCCCAGGTGATCCGCGAACTCAGTCACCTTCGATCCTGACTCAATATCCCACAGCATGCATGTCATGTCACCAGATGAGGTGATAATGCGCCGGTCGTTAATGAAACGGCAGCACGAGAGGTATCCAGAGTGCCCCGACAGTTCCCGCGCGACACGGGTCGGGCCTTCGCGGGAAGAGAGGTTGTAGATAGAGCAGATGTTGTCGAGACCTCCACACGCAACGTAGTTACCACTTGGAGCATAAGCGCAGGTCATCACCCACGATGATCTCAAAGGGATGGCATGGACTTTGTTGGTGGTGTAGGCGTCCCAGATAATCAATTTACCGTCCTGCGAGGCGGACACTAAATGACGACGGTCAGTTGACCAGTGCATGGCGTAGATCTTGGCCAGGTGGCCCTTGAGCGTTCGTCGAGGCTTCATTCCGATGCGAGGTAAGGTGTCGGTCTGGTTCTGCGCAACCTGACGAACTGTTTAGGGGGGTCAGTAGCCGAAATGGAACAGGAGACATTCGCGAAAGCAATGAGAGTAAACAAGCTGCTGCCTTTCCAGAAATTCAAATTTCGCGAAAACTAATGGTTTAAAGGACTCGTACGGGTTGTATCTGCCAGCTCATCTTTTCTGCGCTTGATTTTGTCCTTGAGACCTTCAGCTTCGCGCCTGGCCGCGGTAATCTTGGCCTGCATCTGCTCGCCGCTCATATCGGCTGCCATTTCGACCGAGAAGGAGGTCCCTGGGATGGGAGATTTGGTAATTGAGGAAATAGGCGGGCTTGGGATGTGAAACGGAGTCGAAGGAGTCGGCGCTGTAAATCCCAGGGGATCGGATTGGGATGACCGGGAGAGGGGGCGGGAAGACGGCGGTAGGAAGGGAACGGACAGAGGAAGAGTTGAACGAGAGGGAGCTGCGGGAGGAGGGGGGTGATTGGGTGTGGAGCGAGAGTTACGGCGGAAGCGACCGAGTGAAGAAGAAAGTTTCGACCCGGGGCAGTAGTGGTTCGAGCTTTGAACGAGGCAGGGGTATCCGTGCCGAAGAAGAGAGTATTAAAGAGAGCAAGAGTTGTGTATGGTTATGATGAAAAAGAAATTATTATTATTATTACAAAGGAGAAGGGCCACAAAACCCGAAGGAAAGTCGATCAAAGGGAGGAGGAAAATAATAACGTTAATGTAGGGGAAACAAGTCGAGATGACACCGCCAGTAGCAACAGCAGTAATGGTTACTTACCAAGCAGTTAAGGGGAACTAGTACCTCACTACCACCGGCACTACGGAGTACCATACTCTAGGTAACAATACTATAATCAATCCATTACACTCATAGACATCGTAAGTTTTAAATCTATCTTCATTCTATCTTTATATCTTTTCCCTCTCAGTTTGCTTCATGTTCAGCAATGTGTCGACAAAACGGCCCCAGATGGTGGACTAATTACTGCAGTCATATTCACTCAGGTATTATTCGGGATGGCGATCAATTTGACAGTTCAGCTGTAGACAACGGTGAATTGACTGCATAGTTAGATAGTGTCTGCACCGTCGACACAGCGATGCTCTTTGTTGATGAATCACTACTTAGATAGACACCTAGATAGTAGATAATCTGCCGGACGTGATTTGCAGAAGGGCTACTTGTACATGCTCGCTAGGCCCAGACAGCACCTGCAGTAGCAGCTGAATAGAGTCATGAACGGCTTGGTAATAGACGGAGCCTCCTGGATGGATACGGAAAAAAAACCGCAGCAAACTTGATTGGCTGTCTGGACCCACGCCATGTATATCGTACTCCGTACGGAGTACGGAGTACAGAAGGTGGTTGTCCTGTAATTTGTATGGGTAAATTATCAAGGTTATTGCGGTCACTAAGACGCAGCCAGTGAAGGTTGGGGTCATTGATTGGTGATTGATCTTCCCAGAGTGGAGGAGATTGAGACATTCTAGTCTTCCAAAGAAATTGAGGGAAATATGGACCTGGTAATTGATTTTATTGTGGTGACGATGATAAGAAATATCAACTTAATAGGTACCTAGACTTATTATTAGTTGATTTGCCGAGCACAGAGGGGGAAAAAGGACCATCAGGCTGCAATGAATTCAAGAGTGCTCATAATTCGCTTCAGATATACTGAACAACATCAGTTGCGAATGCAGTGTGCTATCATCTAATTGAGGGCTTCAAATTTGACATGTCATGCCTGGCTCAGGAACTGATGACTGTTTTGATTAGAGCACGATCAACGTATGCTGCGTATTTCATTATCCAATTTGGCATGTACAATGCCGCTACAGATGAGTAGACAGGTACATACTTTGTATGGTGCGGGTGATCTGATAATCTTATGTATGTCATATCAGCAGCCATGGTACTCCGTACATTGCGATCCTTCCAATAAACCTAGATCCTGAGCATTATTTACTTCTTCCGATGTCCAGGTATATATGGAAAGTGAAACTAAGTCCGATTGAAATAGATATGTGGCCTCTCTTCAATGTACGGAGTAGTGCCATCTGGATCCAGCCCAAAGCTGTCAAATTATATACGGAGTAGACAGTATCTAGATATGGTATCGAAATTGATAATCCTTCAGCCTCACATTCGGCATTGTTCTCGGATGTTTTTCTTCTGCAGCTTCCAGCCCCTGGATCGTGCAGAAATACTTACTAAAAGTCCGGAGGTAGGAATGTATGAAAACAGATAGCCTCGGAGACCTGATCAGAGACAGGCTAGCGCTGCACCACATTACAACCCTTTTTATGACTCTCTCTGCAAGGACACGGGGGGAACAACTAACTATCTTGTTAACCTTCAATCTCCTCACAAAAGATATCTATCATTATAATCTATCATAACCTGACTTTACATTCTACTATACTATTTCAGTTGAAGAGATTTTGTACCAAAATTGCACTTGAACGCCTTGGCACACTGTGCCCCCGAGATGCGAGCCCACACGCTGCAGCGGGTCCCCTTTAAATTTGACTCCATACTGGAAATATCTTATCCACTTCGACACTTGGAAGGCAGCATCTGACTCCACTGTTGAATGATCGCTCATTGCTCAACCTTGGTCGTTCCTGAGTCCTGAGTCCTGACTAACCTCAAGTGCTACTACTACACACACTATTCCCAGTAAGGAGTACCCAGGTCCTAAGAACCAGCAGCGAACAAGCCGATGTTGGCGATCTGAGAATCAGGACTGTTTTGCCAAGCTCGGTCCAGTTCATGCATGAGTATAGACGTGAGTATCATGATCCAGCAAGCACTTTCATCATGACTCGACTGGTACATCTCTTGTTTTCTGTACTTCAAGGGCCAGGAGGCTCTTGTCAATGCAGACAAGAAAAAGTACACAGAGCCTATTTAATTTTTGCATGTTAAAATTGCAAGGATATCAACATTGCCGGTCCAGTATGAGGCCCGACAACGAATCAAGCCCGGTCGATCTGAGGACAGTTGATTATCCCGTCAGGCTTTTGAGGCATGAAGTAAACAGACTCTCAGGCATGACGCAGAAATACCACCCTGTATGAGCGAGAACAGAATGAGGCACAAGGCTGAGGTCTGCATTCTGGACTCCAGACGTTGAATGCTTGTATTATTACCGTGTTGATAGGCGGCTAGATGGATCCTTGTCGGCTGGTGCCCATACATGACGGATTTCTAAATATAAGCGCACTTAACTCTGATCTGCGCATCTGAAAGCACATACGGTTAAGAAGTATTCCATAGCCTCTCTTGGGCTACCTCGATTCCAATAAAGATCTGCCCAAACAGCTTGTGTGGGTTTCTTGGTCAAGTCCCAGGCTCGGTTAGATCACAGCAGCCTATCCAGATGCCGGATCGCTGTCGGCGCTTCACTGCGTACGGTCGTCAATGAATACTTTGCTGAACATGTAGAGAGGTACTTGCGAGCACTTCCTTCTCTCCCGGGTAAGATGACGAGCATCATTCATCATCCAACCCATAGAGAAGGACAAAGTACCTTGTATACTGCGAATGTCTGCTCCCTGTCAGTCAACTGGGGGGTTGATACCTCGCGCAGATATTCCTGGCGGCCCCTTTATCTAGGTATATCAAGCGATCTTTGCTGTTTACAAAGTATACATGATTACCCGATTATGCAATTACACGGACGGGAAGGGAAAAAAATTAAAAGGAAAAGGAAAAGAAGAGGTGGAAAACACAAGGCAAAAAGAAACATGGGATGAGCCGGGATTGAACCAGCGACCTCACGATTATGTGACTAAAGTGTTAACTTCAGTCGTGCGCTCTCCCAACTGAGCTATCACCCCATTTAATAATTTTGTCTTAGAGTTTTGACACTATGTACCGGAATATATCTCACACATAGATAACTACTCAACTAGTATTGATTTGTTCTGATGGGGATGGTCTGATTTCACTATACTCCAAACTATCCCATGTCCTATGTTTTGAAAAGTGGCAGTAAATATTATTAGACTATAGAGCTACCATGTTGTCAACCTGTACTCAGCCAAAATAAGATGACAATGGCAAAGAGAAGTAGATATTTGACCGTGTGCCAAATCATCCAATTGAACCATTGCCCTGTTTGTTTTTGGGTTCACATTCATTATAGTACTATGTCTTGTTGACTGCATAACCTAGTAGGTAATAGGTACTGAATCACCCTTTACCTCTCTGCAACGTGAATAAATTATTGGGCTTCAAGACTTGTAATAACCATGAATTAGCTCCTGGACCCCTCAAACCCCGCAGAATGTTCAGTGTCTCTCAGGAACCTACAGATCCCCAACAAATAGAGACCTCGCTTCTTTGTTTACCTGACACTAGTGGCACACTATCTTCTCCAATACTCCATTAATGTCGTCGTTTGTATATAGATCATTCTCCGTCATCTGTGGGTTAGGGAGGAGGTCTCTTCCCCGTCCGACTTGGATCAGTCGCTTGTACATCCCCGAGATGCTTTTGCTCGGGTCTCCTTAGCACCCCTTCATAGTAGAAAAGTTCGTTTCCTAAGAAAGCTCTGTGCTCCTGTGGGATATTCCATAGCGTCAGATTTTACTTGCGACCTTGGCTCATAACTTTGACCGGACAGTTGAATTGACGGTTTCTCAATTCTCTACTGGCCTGAAATTTCGGTCTTTCCCCTTGAATCCCTTGCATTACAGTCGTGGAATGACAACGCGAGGCTCTTTCCTCTCGTCCATCGTCTGGGCTGTTTTCGGTAACCCATCTAGTTCCTCTTTCTAGAAGGAATCGAATCAACCGAGCTTGCTATTCTACTTTCCTCCACACAAGCTCGCCCCAACATATCTCGATGATAGCAGACATATTTTGATAGAGATCACGAACGAGATCATCATGTGGCTTTTAGAGGCCATCTGTCCAGAGGTGAAGATAAATTAGTGTCTCCTTTCTGCGGCAAATCTGGTCAAATATGAATGGATTCTGGGACGAGAATCCCTTCTCGTGTAGCAGATAAATGGTTGGGTTGCTTGGGCCGTCGGTCTTATTACTGTGTGGATCTGTGACATAGACAGTTGGATTGGGGGCATGGTGTGCTATGGGGGCAGCGATGGGTTCAATGGGACGTGGGCAAAGTGAGCTGGTCAGTCAGTTCCACGCTGTCTCTAAGCACTGATCTCTTCACAAAGAAACTCATTGATCCGCCCTTCAGTTTCAGAGATGTGTTGTGGCCCTGCTTCTCCTCCACGAGTCAGCATGCATCCGAAGGCAAGGGGTCTGATATGACATACGATGCGGAAGTTCCCTTTCAAGCGTCCGTATCTGGGGCATGAGTCGCTGCAAGACTTCATACTCATCTTCATTCAGGAAATGGCTTGGATCCTCGATTGAATGTGTGGAAAGAACTGAAAGAGATGGGAATCTTGATCGTTCTCCACGGTGGGGTCAGCATATGAAGGKAGTTGCAGTCAGTATCAAGCTGTTGGGTGAGGTCCATGGACGAGGTGTGATATGTATAGAGGTGAGAGGGTCAATGGGTGAGAAGGACAGGAAGAGGAACAGGAAAATGACAATGCAAGAGAAAGGAGGAAATGAGTGAATGGGCTTTGGGAAATGGTGGTTGCCAGAGAGATTGATGACTGCCTTGACAAGAACCAATAAAATGTGGCCGCTTGAGATGCTCTAAGCTCGCAGTGGGAGAAAATGGCAGAATAAGTATGTATCCAAAGACCTATGGAGAAGTGAATCTGCAGATATGGAGCTAGAGGTGAATGATGCTGAGCTTATGTGCATGATGTATTGATATTCTTGTATTGGAAGGAAGAGGCGGTTATAATATGTATTTGTATATTTCACATACTCAACATAAAGTAGCAATCATTAATACTCACCGTGCAGGTGTCACATAGGCACTGTAGCCTCTCACTGCATCTATACTACTACTAATCCTACTCAAAGGTTGCCACATGCACTGATGTCAGAAACCCTAGTTGGCAGACCCCCTGTGACCTGCAGCAAAAAGCCACCAAAGAGCACCTCATACCGCACCTATGCAGGCAAGCTGTTTCCTTGTCAGATAACGCTGAGACTCTGTCCCTATAACTGTTTCTCCCTACTCCTAATTAATTTACATCTTTTGGTACTCTGTATCAGCCTTGTGCTGTACACTACTTACATTGTGACAATAATGGAAGGCTATGCATACCCTTCATGGTGCATTATTTTCCGGTCCACTACCATCAAGTGGGGTGATAGCTCAGTTGGGAGAGCGCACGACTGAAGTTGCACTTTAGTCACTTAATCGTGAGGTCGCTGGTTCAATCCCGGCTCATCCCATTTTTTTTTTTGTCTTCGCAATTCAGTATTTCTCTCTTAGTTTTTTAATTATCAGACCTTCTAAATTCTCCTATCGAGATTAGGGACTATCAGATGGGGTGATAGCTCAGTTGGGAGAGCGCACGACTGAAGTTGCACTTTAGTCACTTAATCGTGAGGTCGCTGGTTCAATCCCGGCTCATCCCATGTTTCTTTTTTGCCTTCTTTCTTAATTATATATCATACCGTTTCTTTCCATTTTTTTTCTTTTACTTTTTACTTTAAAATTTACCCTCTTCTTTCCTTCCCCCCTCTCTACTTGATTACTCTTCTATTCCACTAATTGTTTCGGTTATTGCCTTGATTACTTTTGGACAGTTAAGTACTGGCATCAATCGAAATTTAGGTTGAAGAAAGGTAAGCTTTACAACACATATCCTCCCACTGATCACATGATTAGTGGGAACATAAAGCCACCTTTAGCTTTCCACATATAGATAGAAAAACACAAATTTTTCCGTCCAATGGGGTGATAGCTCAGTTGGGAGAGCGTGCGACTGAAGTTGTACTCAGTCACCTAAATCGTAAGGTCGCCGGTTCAATCCCGGCTCACCCCAATTTTTTATTTTCGCTTCTAAATAGTACATATCACGTCCAGCAGCTACTACTAGGTCGGGCCTTGCTAGAAGTGTTCCACCCATACGAACTGCTTTCTTTTAAATATGTACCAGGCCCTTAGGTGTGTGTATACTCTCCCGCCTGCGCTATAAACCAACCCTAGAATCGTGGGTATCTGAAACGCAATGACAAGTCAGTCCGACGGGACGCAGACCTTCGATTTCACATTTTAATACAAAACCAAATTATCCCTCCACTTGCTTCACACACATCCCCAATTCCCTCTGCAGCCGACCATGTTCATCCAAGTAAGGAAGCAGGATATTCTCCCAATGGGCCTTCCCCTTGTATACCGACCTGGTCTTATCGCAGTTTCGAATCGCCTCGGCCAACCGTCCTGCGATGAAAGGATCTTTCGCGATCTTGAGGATCGTCTCGAAATAGGTGCGGATCGTAAGAATGGCCCTCAAACGGAGGAGACGTCGCAAAGTCTGTCGCTCGGATCGAAAATGGATCTCGTCGACGGTCAACCCTTGGCTGTTTGCCGTAGCCCATGCTGAACCCATACTGTTAGTTTTCGCATGCTCCTTCACATGATAGGTAGACAGTACGCACAAGCAACTTCGGTGCCGCTCTGATCCCCATCCGGTGAGACCAGTGGAGGCCATCATCGAGGTGGATGAAGAACTGCGGAAGACCTGGTCAGTCACGGTACGCTTGCAGAGGTGATTAGCATGGCTCACGTTATTTCGCTCCACGGGCCGCTCGGGCGCCAATTCCTTGAGAAACCGGTTCATGGACTTTTGCTATGTTGCGGCGTAGTGAGGCACGCCAGCATCGAAATGCAGCGTGTCCTGCGACGTGCAGTATTTCTCCCGGAGTTCTCCCCAGATAGACAGACAGCTGCTGCATCGAGATGATATTGGCCATCTAGCTCCTTAGTATGGTGGACGGTCCTGCGCTCGATAGGGCTGTCTTGCCTGGATTCCCGATCATCGGGACCAGATCATCCTGAACGAGCAGGGCAGATGTGACCATAGCCTCCGTTGGGGTTCCTCCAGACCGTCAGTCTATCGTCCAGTAGCACCAAGCATCATAACGCATACTCGCAAGGTATTGGAACTGTCGCGGGTCAAACAGTTGTGCAGGGTAGTGTCTTCCAACCGAAAGACTTCGGATAACGCTGGACGAGATATTTTACAAGCTTCCTCATAGACCTCAAAGCACGCATCTCCTCATAACAGCATTGTCCACGTACTTCCCAAGGCCATCGATGTCCTTCTCCAGCTCGGCCTTCTTGACTTCGTAGTACCGCGTGGAGTATGAATCCATCTCTATTCAGTTCTCCCAGTCAATCTCCGGATACCCCTGTAAAGTAAGTAATAATTTGAAATCGAATACTATGGTACTGATATACCTACTACCTTAAGATGATGATGATTAGATATCAACACTAAATTTAGTATTTATTATCCTTAGCATATGAGAGTACTGCTCTGTGGAGGTAGTGGCAATAGGTAATACATGTGGCAAACAGTAAAAGTCTCCAAAGGTCCACATCGTAGCTACAGTCCGCCGTACATGCCGACTCGATCGCAGGTGGAGGAAAGATACAGAAATCACTAGTCAGCGTATCTAAGATCATCACCAAGCAAATGAAGCGTCTTCCATCAACGACCTGAGTGCGTAGAGAGTAGACAGATAGTTTAGATAGTACCTTGGGGGTTGCTTGCTATTTATGAAACAAAAACTCCCCTTCTCGGTGCAAGTCTCCGCTTAGGCTCTGGCCCGACTCGGCTTCATAGTCAGACGCTCCCTGGTTCCGTTCGCTCACTCTCTCTCACTTTCTCCTCTTTTGATTTTGCCCCCCTCTCCGACACATAATCAAATCCTCCGCCAGACTTCAAATCCTCCAGCTCTTGGACTTTCATTTCTGTCATTATTTTGGTTTATACATATTCGCCCAACTCTTGTTGATGTCTTGTATTTGACTCTTGTCCTTCTTTCACCCCTGACACTTGTTTCTGCATTCTCATCTGAATCATCCTTCTCGTGGCTGCCCGCGGACACCACCATCAGGCTCTGACTGAAAGGACTGGTCTTGGCTCGATCAAAACTCCCTATCACTCTCCTCTCCTCCATCACTTTTCAGCTTCCTCATCTCCAGTCCATCAACGGGCCTGTTAAGGCTATTTGGTTCATATTTGCATCCTCCTATTTACCGCATGATTTTGTCACAATAACGACAAGCCTCTCGGTCCTTTTCTTTCTTCTCCAACCATCTTCATCCCAAGTACGCTTTCGTCAGCATTAGGGGTTGAGAGCGAGCGCCTTCCTTCCATCGAGCTACGAAAGTTCCCCATTTCGAACTACAGCTCTTCCTATCATCTCGGATTCTGCGAACTCTCCTGTCCATAATGCGGGAGGTGAACTTCAGCATTCCCAATGTCAACAAGGCCTCTGTCAATATTACGACAACCCTATATGACCGGCGGGCCCTCGATTGCACATCAACACTACCCCTCATAAATTCTCTCAATCATCTTGCCTATCTCACTACGTCCTCTGCCCGTATTCGCGATATCCTCACCGTCGATGGCGGCATTGAAAGACTCGTGTGCATACTCAAGGAAGGCCGGAGCAGGGACCTCATGGAGATGTGGAAGTGGAGTCTGGCCTTTCAATGTGTCGTGAATATCGGAGTGAGAGGTTCAGAAAGTGTGAGAACAAGGGTTGTCGAGGCTGATATGGTGCCGGTAATTGCAACGATTCTGGATAACTATATCAAGGTTGTCGACAAGGCACGAGCCCGAGCCGATTCCGAGTCTCAGAGACAGTCGTCCAGACATCATTCGAAAGCTGTGTCAACATCGAATGATGCCCCTGGACGTTCGTCCTTCCTGGAACAGTCATCGACAGCTGAACAACGCACCTCTCGTCGCCATGCCCCTCCTCCGAGTATCGAAATTCCACCCCAACCTTTCTTCCAGGAAAATCATGTCGCTGATTCGAACGTCCTGGATGTCACCTCTCCCCCCCGAGTGCCCATGACCTCCCCTCCTGAGAGAAGCACCTTTGGACAAGACATACACCACCATAGAACGAACGACGGCCGCTTTGCGCATGTCAACCATCGACACAGGATGCAGCCTTTGGCTACAGCATTGCCTTCGATGGACGCTGCTGATGGCTTCGGTCTGCGGCCCGTGCGTGATAATGAGCGGTTACCAAGCATGCTTCCTGGTTTCCACACCGGACTCACTTCTCAGCCAGATTCTCCGACTACCCCCAATGCTCCCGTACAGCCTCGAAGCAGTGCACAGGCTACAATTGCGAGGCAACGTCCGTCGTTGAGACAGCAGCAGTCGGCATCGGGCGAATCCGATGACGGAAACGGAGACGGTTCTACAATGGATGAGGATCCTGCTTCCACAGACGCAGCTGAGCCTATCGTTGGACTGCAGAACAGAATGGATATCGATGACGTCGGCGAGAGAAACACGATACTAGGCGGCGTTTCTGACTCTCACGATCTCACAGTAACAGATCCTTCCGAAGAGCAGGAAGCCGAGACCTTCAACATTACACACCGTTCCACAGTGGATGGCAGCATGATCAATACCGACAACGCCCAAAATAACGCCACTCTGGGGTTATCCCCTACCCAGGCAGCTGATAACGCCAACTCTCCCGCCCTTGTTCCAAGCCCTTACTCTCTATACTTTCGCGATCGAACAACCACAGCCGCTCATGGTGTTTTGACAACTATGCCTCGGGACGAGGACGTTCTCATGTCCCTTCAACTCTTGGCTTATGTCTCCAAGTACTGCAACCTCCGGTCCTACTTCCAGCATTCTCATTTTGTGCCCAAACTCAAGATTGATCGCGAACTTCAAATGCTAGACGAAGGAACATCACCAATTGAACTTCCTGAAGAAGAGGATGAGTATTTGCTTCCTGATGATGTCAACATCTTCCCTCTGGTTGAGAAATTCACCGTTCGTCACCACTCAAAAGATATGCAATACTGGGCTTGCGTGGTCATGCGGAACCTTTGCCGTAAGGACGAGTCCAGAGGAGGTATCAGGCAATGTGCATACTACAAGTGCGGAAAATGGGAGGAGTTTCAGCGTCAATTCGCAAAGTGCCGCCGTTGCCGCCGCACCAAATATTGCAGCAAAGATTGTCAAAAAGCGGCGTGGGTTTATCATCGTCATTGGTGCCACACCACGCCCTGATATGAATGGACGGAATTACCACTACCCAAATAATGCATTCTGGCCTGCATAGCGTCATATTTGTCACCCATTTCCAGTGTCTTCCCCACCCTTTTGGCGAAGTTCTATTTACCCATGCATGGCATTTCAGAACTTGGCGGCGTTACCTCTCATCATAAAGATACCTTTTGTATGTCGTCTATGCCTTCTTTGCAACGGTTTACCCTCTATCATTTGGTCTACGCATTTTTCGATCTTGTCTCATTGACTTTGGGCGCGATGCCCTACATGGAATACCTCTAGCGCTCATGATTCTGCATATCTGTCCTAGTCAACTCATTAGTCTTGTTTCCATTGTCTTCTACTTACAATTTAGTGACGCTGAATTCTAATTGTTATCATGATTTCCCTTTGTCTTAGTTGAAGGCCAGTAAACTTGGTGCGATCTTTTGAACTAAACTTCCCATATTGCCCTCTCTCTTTGTGTCAGATCAACCACCAAGTGCCATGTGCGGTGTAAAATATACAGGGCATGCGGTGCCTGTTTAACGGGAGTGATTGATGTCCGTGCATCTCACATTGTTGGTTTCTTTCCTAACTGACCACGCCTATCTGCTTCCTTCACTCTTGAAAATCGACACTAGCGGTTGTACTGAAGCACTTCCAGGGTAAATCAAGAGTAGACCTGATGGGTTTTAAATCAACAAGCTCCACGCCGAGCCAGCTCTTGCTATACACCTTTTCTGACAACACCGTACAGAACGTCACTCCTTCTGGAATCCGTATGTGGCCGCCAGTCTCGATTCGAGATGTTCGTAAGCCGTCAAAGCCCGCTTCCCCGGCGCCATGTTCCCTGCTCCGCCACCGAAGCCAACCTGTTCATTGATAATGCCGTTCTTTTTGCAAAACTCGCGATGAGCGACTACAGCTTCACTAGGTACTGGAACCAACTCCGTGGTATCCACCGGATGACAGAAGTAAGCAATACTATATCTGTCCTGCGGGTTGGGGCTACGCTGTTCAGACAGGGGGAACACGACACGGTGGATCGTCGACTTCAGTAGACCGTCGGTCCAGTAACTCAGCAGATCACCAATGTTTACCAGAATAGGCGGGAACGGGTAGGCACTGGCATCCTCTGCTTTGCCCGGCTGCACGGGGACAGGAGCCCAGGAGCCATCTGGCGTCCGGATCTCAAGACCTGGCTGCCCGGGCCGCTGGAAGAGAAGGGTGATACTGCCGTAGTCGGAGTGGGCGCCAGCGCGCACGTCGACGTCGTGCTGGTAGGAGGACGTCGCGGGAGAGAAGATAGATGGGTAGTACAGGTAGCGGAGGATGCAGCCTGTGGGACCGTTCTGGGGGTCATGGCGGGATGTAAAGAAGTCGTTCGGGATCTGTGAGATTGCGATTAGCAGACAGCGTGGAATGACTGGTTAGTATCTCCAACCTGGAGGCCGAGAGCTAGTAGCTTCAAGATGCGATTGCAGGTCTTGTTGCAGAGGGAGGCGAAATGCCCAATCTCGGCCTCGTGCGGGGCCAGCGATGGGGGGAGGGGTTGCTGCGCTTTCCCGTCCTTGAAT